CGGGCGGCCATGGCGGCTCGGCCATGTTAGCGGGGCCGGGCCGGGCCGGGAGCGGCTCCCGCGGTTCCTCCGCCCGGGGAAGGGCTCAGGGCCTGCGGGGGCGAACCTTTAGGTGCCGCCGGGGCCGCTCGTTCCCCTCCTCTGGCGGCCGCGGGGCCGGGCCCAGCGCTCCGGGGCCGCCTCATCTCCGTGTCCTCTTTTCCTCCGACCGCCCCTTCCTGGATCTTCCCTTTCCCCGGATCTCCCGATCCCCGCTCCCCGGATCTCCCCATGGCCGGGCCGCCCCGCTGGGCCCCGCTCCCTCCCCGGCCCCGGGGACGCTCGGTGTCGTGGCAGCTGCGGGCCCCGGGCCCGGCGGGAGCGGGAGCTGAGCGGGGCTTTGGGTGGGGATTAAAGCGGCTTCGTGCATGGCGAGGGGATTTGCAGGAGCAGAGCAGCGGGGCAGGAGGAGCTGCGAGCGCCTGGTGCCGGTGGAGAGACGCCAGGAATTGCAGAGCCAGCGGGGTCAGGGCCGGCCCTGCCTGTCCCGGGACCTGCTGTAACTGCAGCGCGGCCTGGGCCAGCAGAAAGGGCCCGCTCGGGGGAAAGCCGGGCTTGCCTGGGTTGGGCCCAGGTCACCCAGAGCAGCTGTGGCTGCCCCTGGATCCCTGGCAGTGCCCAAGGCCAGGCTGGACGGGGCTTGGAGCAGCCTGGGATGGTGGAAGGTGTCCCTGCCATGGCAGGGGTGGCACCGGATGTGCTCTAAGGTCTCTTCCGATCCAGAGCATTCCAGGATTCCATGATAACCTGGTGGAGTTCAGGCTCATCTCTGTGCCCACACAGCACAGCAGCCGCCCAGGCCTGGCCTTTGCCACCTTTACATCCACCACGGTGATCGTCTCACTTTGGCTGGAGCCTTTTCTGGTGTGTTGGGAGCAGAACACACTCAGCTCCAAAACTTCTGGCAGAGCCTCAATTCAAACCCTCAAGCAGTGATAACACTTGAGGAGTCTGAAGTGATAATTCGTTCTGAGCTTGTGCTGTGAAGGTGGTAAAGATGGCACAGCAGCCCTCAGACTCTCCCTCTGGGAAGGCAGAGTGGTTTTAAAATGATTCCCTAATAGTTGGCTGATGTGAGCAGGAGAGGTAAAATGGGAGCACTGCGAAGGAGGAATTTGGAGAGCGCCACGAGCCTTCTGGCCAAGGCTCATTTTTGCATCTTGCTGTCAAGAATGTGTGGGGTAAAAGCAGACTGGTTTGTGAGAGCTGGGTGGACAGGGATGTTCCCCCCAGGTGTTTGTGGGCAGCAGTTCTGTGCTGGTGCTTGGTGCTCCTGGTGGCACAGGGGGGGTTGATTCCTTCACGTGCTGAATTCCTGGCTAGTCCTGAAGGTTCCTGGATGTGGAATCCATGCTGGGCACGATGTTTGATGTCTTGTGTCACCAGCCTGAGCTTGAGCTCACGTGGTGAGCCGTGCCCAGGCGCCTGTGTCACCTCACTGGACACCGTCACAGGGAGGTCAATCCTCTGGGGACAGGTTTTCTGGCACCCCAGTGGTGTGGGGGCCAAAGTGGGAGGGGACAAACCCAGCTGACCTCGTTTGGCCCCTCGTTAGCGGAGCCTGAAGCGTGACTCTGAAAGCTTTATTGATGCCTTGTGTGCACGGAGCGCTGGGATGTGACCTCGCGGTTCCAAACCCCTGCCTGCTGCTTCCTGGAGGGTGGGGACCTTGGTGGGGACAGCAGGAGTGTTTTGCTGGCTTGTGCTGGGAGGGTGAAACCCCAACCACGGTGAGGGGCTGTCACCAAAAGTTATTTGGCTTTAAGGTCTTAAATTTCAATGAGGAGGAGCTCGAGGCACAGCCGAGCTCTGGATGTGTTGGTGTCACCTTGACAGGCCCGGGGGGACTGTGGCAGGTGTGGTGACAGCTGTGGGTGGTGTCCCTGTGCAGGTGAAGGAGCTGGTCCTGGATAACTGTCGCTCAGAGGATGGCAAGGTGGTCGGTCTCTCCTCAGACTTTGAGAACCTGGAGTTCCTCAGCATGATCAACATCAACCTGCTGTCCGTGTCCAACCTCCCCAAACTCAACAAGCTCCGGAAGGTGAGTCAGGGCTCAGGTCCCATCTCCAGCAGCCCTTGGCCTTGTGCTGCCCCTGCTGGCAGTTGGTTTTCCTGTATTTGCCAGAAAAAGGCCGTTGAATTTTGCTCTTTGCTCGCTATCTGAGCAAGCGAGAGGGGTCGGTTTTAATATGAAACAAAACCCTTCCGAGCTCTTCAGGTGTTTAGTGCCCTTCCTCTCTTGCTTTCTTGCTCTTGTGCTGCTGTCAGAAGCTTTGTGACACCGTAAATAATTTGGGTTTTGGAGCAGTAACCAGCATGGGGGTGGCTGGCAGTGCTGTGTCCCTGCAGGAAAGGGATTTTAAGGGCAGATTTGACCTGCTGCTCTGTGAGCTGAAATTTGGGTGCTCATCGTAGCCCAGTTCTCAGGGCAATTTCCTTCCCTGTATCACAAGCTGAAACACTTGGTGACCATGTGATATTCCTTCCCTTCAGCTGGAGCTGAGTGATAATAGGATTTCTGGTGGCCTTGAAGTTCTAGCAGAGAAAACTCCCAACCTGACACACTTGAACCTAAGCGGCAACAAGATCAAAGACATCAATACCCTGGAGCCCTTGGTGAGTGGAGGCTGTGCTGGAATCCCAGGGATGACGTTTCCTTTGGGGAATGGGTCTGTGCAGCAGGAATCCAACGTCTTGGTAACTGTTCCAACAGCACTGCGTGGTTCTGATGGGAACAGATTTGATCCCAGTTTGAGGCTGGGCCAGTAGTTAATGGCTCCTCAGTCTGGAAAAGCAGCAGCCAGTCGCTAAAAGAAGCGTGAAATGGGGCTGGATGAGTAAAACTGTGGATGCTCAGTGCCCATCTGAGAAGGGACCGGGAAAGGGTCGGAGGCAGTTGGAGGTAGGTGGCACCTGGGGTGTCATGGAATGAGGTAACTGGACACCAGTGAGGGCATCTGTCACATCAGCCTGAAGGCTCTGCTGTCACAGCACTGCAGGGCTCCCATTCCCACAGGGATCAGTGAGGCTGGAAAAGGCCTCAGAGGCTCCGTCTGAACTGGCCCAGGAAGGCTCTTGCTGTGAGGGATGCCTGAAAGGTCTGACACAGGACATTTGTCCATCCATTGGGCTGTTTGGTGCATCCATTCCCTCCAGAAGGAATTTGGGATTGTTTTGCTCCTCCTTTCCTTGGCGTGGTGCCCGGTGTGATGGCCTGAGCTGGGCTGTGCTGAGGGCACCCCGGCTGTGGCTCTCCCTGAGCTCTGCCTTGGTGTTCTGCCTGATATTTGAGCAGGATGAGTCCAGCTCAGCTACTCCTGAGCTTTCTGGGCCTGTTCAGAAGAAAGAAAGATTTGCAAATGCAGAGAGAGTTTCTTCCAGAAAGGGAAGCCAGGACAGAGGAGCTGAACAGAAATTTTCTGTCCCCTCAATGAACAGGAGCAGTGATTCCTCTCCATCTGAGGAGCATGTGGGGCAGAACCACTTCTGTGCTGGACCTGGGCAGTGCCCCAGCCACCCTGCCTTGGCTGCCTGATCTTCAGACAGTGCTGTGAATAATCTTAACAAATTGATTTTTGCAGAAAAAGTTGCCAAACCTCCACAGTCTGGACCTGTTCAACTGCGAGGTGACGATGCTCATCAACTACCGGGAGAGCGTGTTCGCCCTCCTGCCCCAGCTCACCTACCTGGATGGCTTTGATGCTGATGAGCAGGAAGCCCCTGACTCAGACCCCGAAGCAGATGGGGATGCACTGGAAGATGACTATGAGAATGGGGAAGGTGAGGATTTTTTTCTCCTCCTGGTTTTCCTGCTGGGCAAGGGCCCCTTTTCCGCTTCTGGGTGGGCTCCACAGACGGGGACGGGCGCTGGAGTAGGGGCTGTGTGGGTACCCCCAGCCCCTGCCCCACAGGGCTGGCTGCTGTCCCTCCTCATCCTCTGTGACCCCTGCCTGCTGCTCACACAGCTCTGAGGGGTGGAGGGTGTCCGGATTTGGGAACTGGGGCACTTCCCTCCCTCCCCCTTTTGGTAGAAGGCGAGGAAGAGGAGGATGATGAGGAGGAGGACGATTTGGATGAAGAAGTCATTGATGATGAGGAAGATGAAGACGATGATCTGGAAGGTGAAGAGGAGGAGGATGGAGTAGATGATGAGGTGAGATTGGCACTGGTTCAGCACCAGGTCACATGTTTGTCCCTTGTGTGGTGACCCAGGTGTCACAGGAGCCTCTCTGGGGACAGATCTGAGGAGTTTGCCTTCCACTCTGGCTTTTTCCCTGCACTCTGAACTCCTGAGAGTCAAAAACTCCAGAGAGTTTTCCAGTTCAGTCTTGGCCTGGCACTTCCCATGGCTCTGAGTGATGGGTCCGTGCAGCCCCATCCGTGGGGATGTGAGGAGCTCTTGGAGATCCAGCAGCTTCTCCTGCCACGCTGAGGCTTCCTTGGGCTGGGAGAGGGGGCTGGGGTTACTGCTCATGGGATTGTGGTTCATGCAACAAAGCCTCTTGTTTTCACTCCAGGAGGAAGATGAGGAGGAAGATGGTGAGGAGGATGAAGAAGATGAAGCTGAGGAGGGTGAGTTGAGTCCTAACAATCCAATTTATTGCAGAGCTCCCTCAAATATTTGGTGTTTTTGGAGCTTCCTCAGCCTCAGTGCAGGGCTGTTGCTGCAGTTTTTCTGCCCAGGCTGGTACTGAGCTGTGTCATCATCAAGGGTCACACAGGGAGGGAAAGGGGTCTCAGGACCTCCAAATTCCAGCCATGCCAGGTAATTCTGGGAAATGTGAGAGGTCAGTTGCTTAGAAAAGCAGTTCTGGGAACTGATGGGTCTGCAGGAGCAGGGTGAGGGAATCTCTCAGGGGCACATTCCACTCTCAGCTCAGACCTGAGCTCAGGGCCAGACTCCTCTGGTTGTAACAAACAACCACCCAGATGAGAGTTGGCAGAATATTGTGGCTGGTGTGGATTCAAACAGTTTTGGATGAATCGTGGAATTGTTAAGGTTGGGAAATCCTCTAATGCCGAGTCCAACACCACCGTGTTCACCACTGACCCCTGTCCCCGAGTGCCAAATCCACACCTTCTTGAGCAGTTCAGGGATGGTGATTCCACACTGCCCTGGGCAGCCTGAGCCAGTGCCTGACCACCTTCTCCTTGAAGGGGTTTATCCCAACATCCCATCTAAATCTCACCTGGTGCAGCTTGAGGCCATTTCCTCTCACCCTGTCACTTGTTAGTGACTGACCCCCTCGGCTGTCCCCTCCTGGCAGGGACTTGTGCAGAGCCAGAAGGGCCCCCTGAGCCTCCTTTTCTCCAGGCTGAGCCCCTTTCCAGCTCCCTCAGCCCCTCCTGGGGCTCCAGACCCTTCCCAGCTCCGTTCCCTGCTCTGGACACGCTCCAGCCCCTCAGTGAGCCCCTCAATGTCCTCCTTGTCAGGAGGGGCCCAAACTGACCCAGGATTTGACGCCTCAGCAGTGCCAGCACAGGGGCCATGAGCTTGGTCAGGAGCGCCTGAATTCTGCAGATGCTGTGTTTTTGAGGCTGCTCAACAACAACAACAAAAAAATCCCCTTTTCAGCTGTTACACAGGATGCTTGGAGGGCAGAGAAAGTTGTTGGTGTCTCATGTCAGCCCAGGCTTTTCCAGGAGGAGCAGGACAGGGTGGATCTGCTCCCAAATGGTGCCAGCCTGCTCCAGCTCCACAGCTCAGCTGCTGCTCCCTGGGCTGGGCTGGAAGAGTGAATTCCCCCTCTCTTTGCAGACCATCCGTGTGGGGAGAAGAGAAAACGAAGTCTAGAGGATGAAGGAGAGGAAGATGCAGAGGACGAAGAGGATGATGAGGATGACTGATCCCAGCGAGCCAATCAGTTTTACAGACTCTGACTGTGCTTGTCTTAACCTCCCCGTTGTGTCTGTGTGAGACTGTAAATCCCTGTCTCCCACTCCTCCTCCTCCCCCTTTGTATGGCTGCAGCGTCCACAATATATTTTTTTAAGATTTAGAATACTGTAGGCATTCAGGGGAATCTTCCATACAAGGCTCACTCTTTTCTCACAAGTATCTCATGACCAAAGGCTTTTCTCCGTTCGGTGGTTTGTGCAGCAGCTTGCAAAAAAAAAAAAAATCAACAAAAAAAATCATGAGAGAAAAAAAAAAAAAAGAGAAAAAAAAAAATCTCGTCCTTAGGGTATCTGTGTGTCCAAAATCAGCTGTGCCACACTGGACCCAGAGCTCCAGCACAGAAGGCCTTTGCCACCCTCGTGCCCTCAGCCCAGGGCTCTGAAGATGCTTTTTGAGCCATCTCGGGTGCAAAATGTGGTTCATCTCCGTGGACTCGAGCGATCCCTGAGGGTGTCTCAGATCTGAAATCATGGTGATGTGATCTCTGGACATGCTTGAAGATGCTTTAGTGCTGGGGCTGGGGGGTGCCTGGGGTTTTGGGGGAAGGGAGGGAGGGGGGGGGCTGCTTGCATGACCTGGTACCTCTGCCGATGCACCTTGCAGTAGCCCTGCACTTGCTTTCCTATATTTTTTTATAAACTGGAACATTTTCCCCGTTGTCCACCTCAGACCCATCCCTTGGGCTGTCCCGAGCCAGAGGGGTTGTTGTGGCCGTGTCTGCTGCGGGGAGGCTCTGGGAGCCCTTTGGGAAGGGATAGGGAATGCAGGTGAGGGGATACTGCTCCTCCATCCACCTCCATTTCACACTGTACAGCCCTGTGCAGCCACCATCACTGTGATTGATGCTCCTGCAGACCGTGTTAGCCTGTAAATTCTCAGGGTCCTTCTGCCAGCCAGTGCCACCTCTGCACAGGCCCCCGGTGCCAGCCTGGCCTGGGCATCCTCCTCCTCCTCCTGTTCCCAGCACGGAGCGGAGCTCCAGCTCCCCGCTCGTGTCCCTGCGCCGGGGGTGCCACCCCGAGGTGGCTGGAGGGAGGATTTGGGGAACCCAGGCGGGTGCAGCATTCCCAACCCCATTCCCACCTTCCCTCTCATCCCAGAGGTGTCCAGCCAGCGCATCCCTTGGGAGAACAGCCCCGGGGACAGGGGGGGATGCTCGGGGCTGCTGCCCAGGGGTGCAGACAAGCACTGGCACTTTGTGGCATTCCCGCTGCGTGCTCCGGGCGCTCCGTGGGCTCCCGGGGCTGAGGCTCCAGCCCTCCCCTCCCGGGGGGGTGTGGGGTGTGTTTTGCAGCACATCCCCGTTCCTGTCGCTTCCTTCTCGCTGGTGTCTCTTGCATTGTACAGTCGCTGTGACCATTCGGAGAAGAACTAATCCTGTAAAATGCAAACTGAGTAACTTATAAATGTTTAAGGAATTTAAAAAAAAAAAAAAAGAAAAAAAAAAAGTCAGAGCAGCAGTTACTTCTAATTTTTTTTTCCCTGCATTTTTAGCAGATTGTATGGATTTTATATTAGCCTAGTAACTGTCAGGTTTTGATTGGTCAGACTAGTCCCAGAAATAAGGATCTCCAGCCCTTTTGTATCTTTTGTTACAAAATTTGGATAAAACTTTAATAAAAGACTTCAGTTTTTAAAAATCCATTGCAACGGAGCTTGTCTTGGCTGCCTCTGCCTTGGGAACAGCCAGGAATGCTCAGAGTGGGGGCTTTGGGGCAGCTTTGGGTTTCTCCTGGGAGCAGGGACTGTCCCCTGTCCCGGCAGGACTGGCTTTGGTGGGGGCTCTGCTGTGGGGTGGGGTCCCAGCACGGGGGCTCTGCAGGACCCCCGTGGAGGGGGCCAGAGCCGGATCCAGGGTGAGGGACAGCTTGGGAAGGGTCTCCCTCCTGCCTTTGGGCTGGGCACCTGCCCCAGGGTGGGCTGGGGGCCAGGGCAGCTTCCCCGGCCTGGGGGCTGAGCTGTGCCCCTGCCCCTCTTTGGGGGCTCCGTGCTGGCTCTGATGAGCTGTCACTGGCCGGTCTCAGCAGCTCAGGGACACCTCAGGGTGTCACTCCCCCTGCTCAGGGGACCGGGCTGGACTGGGGAGGGCACGGTCCCAGCTCGGGGGGGCTGCAGGAGGGAGCTGGGGCAGCCCGGGGTGCGGCTCACCCTGTGTGGGGATGGCAGCGGGAGGAAGGGATGGCAGGAGGAGGAGGAAGGGATGGCAGCGGGAGGAAGGGATGCCCCCCCAGCCCTTTGGCATCCATCTGGATGGCAGCCAGGTGACCCTTGGCCCTTTCTGAGCCCCATGCCGGTGTTTGTGTCCCCTCCCGGTGCTGGCAGCAGCAGAGCAGGGGGTGCCGCCTCTTCCATCGCTCCCATCCCTCGCTCCCAGCCGGGGCTGGCGTGGGCACCAGCAGGTCCCAGCACGCCTCCCCTCAAACCAGTTCGCAGCAAACTTTTCACCCCGCTGGGCTGGGACCGGCAGAGCGGGACTGGGGGAGCCCCAGGGTGCTCCCACGGGGGGTGCAGGGGGTGCACCTGGGCTCCTGCCCCTCCCAGTGGCTCTTCTGTGCCATTCCGTGCCCTCCTCCTGCACCTCTGGCACCGAGGCTGGCCGGGGCTGGAGTCCCACCCCGGGCTGATTGCTGGGGTGCGGCTGGCAGAGCTCCAGCCCTGCTGCTCAGGAGCCCTGCGTGCTCTGGGATGTGCTGGCAGGGGGAGCACGGAGCGTCCCTTCCCCTCTCCCCTTTCCCAGACACTTCCCTTTCCTCCTCCCCACGGCAGCCCCTGGCAGGGCCAGCCCCGGAGCGCAGGGTCACACCCCCTGTGTCCCCTCGTCCCCCTCCTTCGGTTCTGGGGGGGCTCCTCAGCGCCAGCCCCGCTCCCCCGGCCCCCACGGGGACTGACAGAGCCTCTCCCGGCCGCTCCTGTACAATTCCCATTTATTATTCCGAGATCTCATTCCAGAGAAGTCCACTAACTCCTGAGAACCTACCGGGCTCCCCGCAGAGCCCCCGGGGCTGAAGCAACAAAACCTTTAGGGGAGGGAGATACACGGGTTCCGGGTGCTGGAGAGTTCCCAAAAACAAAAAGGGAGAAATTCCAGGGGAAACATCCGCCCCTCTGGCACCCCGGGCTGGGCTGGGGGTGCTCCTGTCCCCAGGGAGGGGTGCCTGTCCCAGCACAGTGGCAGGGGCTGCGCGGTGCCCCCTGCCCGGCTCTGGAGAGTCCCGTGGGAGCCGCGGGCATCAAAGCTGGGAGTACAGGGAGTTCTCCATCTCCGGCGGCAGCTTGGCGTGGAACGGGGCGAGACCCACCCCGAAATCTGGAGGAAGAGGGAAGAGAACTGTCAGCACCTCGGGGAGGGGGACACGGACCCCAGGGGCAACGCAGGGGCTGGGGGGCACTGGGAGGGGGCCTGAACCCCCCAAGGACATCGCAAGGGCTGGGGGCACAGGGAGGACAGACACATGAACCCTTCCAGGGCACAGCAGGGGTTGGGGGGGCATGGAGAGGGCACTGGGAGGGCACACAGACCCCAGGGGCATCGCAGGGGGGTACAGGGAAGGGAGCTGAACCCCCCCAAGGACATTGCGGGGGTTGGGGGCACACAAACGCCTCCAGGGCACTGCTGCAGGCTGGGGAAGCAGGGACTGGAACCTTGCCAGGCTGTGCCAGGCCAGAGGGAGCGGGATGTGCCTTATCCGTGCGGGCATGGAGCTCATCCCCCTGAGCATCCCGGCAGCCGGGGGGGCTCTCCCGTACCCATCTCGGCCTCCAGGCGCCCGGGCGGGGGGTTCTTGCGGTGGTCCTCGATGTGCAGGGTCATCTCCTCGCGGGAGGCGGTGGAGAAGGGGCACTGCGTGCAGCTGTAGCGGCCCCGCGTGTGCTCCCAGACGATGCGGCTGTTGGAGGAGTGCCCTGCAAGGACGGGCGGGCAGGGAAGCACAGGGATCGCCCAGGGATCGCCTCCGGGATCGCCCCCGGGATCGCCCGGAGCCGGCTGGTGCTGCGGGGCTATGGGGGCTGGAGCCCCCCGCTCCGACCCCACACGCTCAGGGGTTCCCTTCCCAAGGGAAGAGCCCCGAATCCGGGAGCAGGGAGCCAGGCTGTGCCCCCCGGCCCCGCAGCGAAGGGCACGGCGGGTTCCAGCCTGGGCTCGGCACTGGGGGCTCTGGGGGCACTGGAGCCCAGGCAGCTGCTGCTGCTCCTCCTGCTGCTGCTTCTGCCCTCGGGGCCAGGCTGGGGGGTTTTGGGGGGGCGCAGCCGGCAACCCCCCCTGCCTCGGAGCCCACCTGGGCCGCATCCCCTCTCCGCGTGGCTCCCAAAAAGGAGGGATCCAGCCCTCCCGCTCTGCTCTCCGGGGAGCACTGCGGTGCCCCTGGGGCCTCTCCCATCCCCTGTGGCCCCCCCGCCGCCCCCCAAACCCCCCAGCGACAGAAAGCAGCCCCCACCCAGTAGGTGCCAAACTAACCTGGAGTCACTCCTGAGCCAAAGCATGGGAGGAGTGGGCTGACACTCACACCTGCGGAGGGAATCGAGGGGCAAGACAAGCATTAGGGCTTCCCCTCCCTGGGGGGGACACGTGGGGGGGCGGGCCTGGCCCGGCCCCCCCGCCTCGCACCCCCAGCACGCCGGGGAGCAGCAGGGCCGGGAGAATTTGGAGGCGTTTTTTCGGTGCTTTGCCCAATCGAACATCACAGAGGGGGTGGCACGGGTGGCACGGGGCTTGGGGGGGTGGCCGGGCCGGAGGGGCAGGAAGGGGACGGATCCTCGGCTGGGCGGCGGCTGGTCCTCCTCGGGAGCTGCTGCTGGTCAAGTCAGGAGCAGAAGAAGGTTTGTCCCGAACGGCTCGGCGCTCTCACCTTGGCTTTTCTTCCAGACGGCGTTGGACACGCTGGGGGGGCCGTGGCCCGGCAGGAAGGGCCGCAGGCGGTGCTGAGCCGGGGGCTGCGCCAGCCCGTAGGGCGAGGGGGACACGTAGGACAGGAACGGCCCCGGCACCGAGGACGGGGATGGCCCCGAGAACCGAGTCAAGGACGAGGGCCCGAACAGGCCGGGCTCCAGCAGCGGGAAGGGGTGCGGGGCCGGCGGCACCAGCGAGCCGGGCAGCTCGGGCAGCGCCGCCGGGCCGGTGTCCGCGCCCGCCGAGCCTTCCTTCTCCAGGGGCCGCGGAGCGCTCGGGAGCTTGGGCAGCCCCTCGGGTGGCTTGGCCGGGGGCTCCTTCTCCGGGGCAGAGGTAGCGGGCGGCAGGACGGGCTTGTCGGGCTTGGGGGGCGGCGCGGGGCCGCTGGAGCTGTCGGAGCAGACGTGCAGGTGCTTGAAGAGGGAGCGGTGCGTGCGGAAGCGCAGCAGGCAGTTCTCACACCTGAGCGGCCGGGAAAGAACCGTCAGAGGCGAGGCTCCCCTGGGCACCGCCCGCTGCCCTGGGGGCTCAGGGATGCCGGGGAGCTGGAGGTGTCCCCAGAGGGAACGGGACGGGGACACGGAGCGGCGGGACTCACTTGAAGTAGCGGTTTGGTTTGTAGTGCACCTTCATGTGGGCCATGAGGTCCTGCATGCTGGGGAAGGTCTCGGTGCAGCCCAGGGTGGGGCAGTGGAAGGTTTTGCCTGGGCAGGGGAATTCAGAGAGAGATTCAGCGGCGGCCCAGCGGGGACAGCCCCGCTGCCGGGTCTGCAGCACCTCCCGCGCTCCCCCCACTCCCATCTCCCACCACCAGCGCTGCCTCAGCTCTGAACCCTGCTCTGCCCCCTCCCAGCCAAAACAGGGGCGCCTGGGGGGTCCTGGCCTTACCCTCGAGGGACTGCGTGGGTCTGTAGTGGACCTTCAGGTGGTCCATCAGCTCCTGCATGCTGGGGAAGGCCAGTTTGCAGCCGTAGCTCGAGCACTGGTAGTGTTTCCCTGCAAGGACACAGATCCGTCGGCCTCGTCCCTGCCCCGGCTGCGCTGTCCCCTCCCCGGGGCGGGGCTGGGCTCACCTGGGACAGGTCTGCGCTTCAGCGGCCGCAGCTCCGGGGCCGGGGTCCCCCCGCTCCCCGCCCCCGCCATCGGGGCACCGGGCACGGCTGGGTCACTGCAGCCTGTGGGGAGAGGCTGTGAGGCTCAGCCCTGCCAAACCACCCCTCCCCATCCCTTCCAAACAGGGCGGGGGCTGGCTGGAGGGGGCCGGAGAGGCTGGAGCCCTCCAGGGTGTGAGAACTGGGAGAGACTTTGCTCTAGGAAAGGTGTGAAGGTGATGGTGATGGTGTCTGGGACACGCTGGGTGATGCCAGCTGCGCACCCGGGCACATCCCGGCACATCCCCATGGCGGGGGATGCGGCCAAAGGGACCTCCCCGCCTCAGGACCAAAGGCTTCCCCCTGCCCCGGCTGCTCCCAGCACGTCCCGAGGGCGCTCACCTGCCCCCTCTGCGCCGAATTTCCCCCGCAAGGAGAAGGTGGCTACAGCCTCGTCCTTCTCCGTCTTCATGGCCGGAGCTGAGCACGGGCAGAGGGACACGGCGGCTCCTCCCGGCGATGCTGCACCGGGAGCAGGGGAGGGAGGTCAGATCCCAGCCCGGGGCCAGAGTGGCTCCCTCATCCTCCTCCTGCTCCTCTTCCTCTTTTTCCTCTTCCTCCTCGGTGTCCCGCGGTCGTGGGACCGACCCTCCCACCCGGGGCTGAGCCCACAGGAGATCACAGAACCCAGAGCTGCCACCGGCCCCTCCTGCCTCTCCCACCCCAGGGTGGTCCCCAAAGCCCCCAAACATCCCCCAGGCATCGCCAGGATCCTGCTCGTGTCCAGCCCACAGCAACTGCAGCCAAAAATTCCCCCCAAACTGCAGGATCCCCTCCAAGGCACAGCCGAAGCAGGGATTGCTGGAGCTGCTCCAGCCTCCTGCTCCCGGGGCTGGGGGCTCCCCTCGAAATTCCAGTGGCTTTTCCAGCCAGGAGGAGCAGCAGGTCCCACTGAGTGACTGGGAGCTGATGATGGGCACGTGGGGACAGCTCCTGCCCAAAATTACATTGCCTTGGCTTCACCACGCCTTGGCAAGAGGCTCCCACATGGATAAGCCAAACTAATTCCCAGTGAAAATCATCTGGAAAACCCCCTCAGTTTGGGAGATTTCTCTGTGGCATCTTAATGTTGGAGTGAGAGAGAAAATGATGATAATAATAGTAATAATAATGCTAATAAATAATAAGCAATTATGAAAACAAGGACAAAAGGATAAAATAAAAAGGATAAAAGGGTAAAAATATTTATAATAATGCTGATAATGATGTTATTGATAATAAGGACAGTAATAACAACAATATTATCAGTGCTGGGGCTGTGGGCACTGGGCAATGTTTCCCCAAGAGCTCAATAACTCGTTGGGAAATCTCCCTGGAGATCACCTCTGCTGCCTGGGGCACCCCAGCCTTCCCACTAACATCTGCTCCAGAGGCATTTTCCCAGCTTTTGGCTCCTGGGGGTCTCACCCAGAGGGGCTCAGTCTGGCCAAGCCGGGCTCAGCAGCTGTTCCTGCAGCACCCGGCACACTGGGATCGCAGCCCAGTGGGAAATAAATCAGGGAGGGGGGAAAAAATCCATGTGGGATTATTCCTGTGGCTGCCTCCGGGCTCCTGGCTTTGTCTGGGGGTTGTGGGGCTTTTTGTTGTTGTTGTTTTCTCAGCTCAGCAGCCTCGGGATGGAATCAGCCAACCATGGAGGGGGGTTGGCCACAGAACAGGGAATTTGGGGCAGGGTTGGGGCTGGTCATGGCCCGGGAGGGGAAATTCAGCTCTGGGTGGAGGGGCTGCTCCATCTCTGCATCCCTGCAGGACATGGGGTAAACACTGAAAGTTTCCAGCAGCTTTGATGGAGCTTTGTTTATCAGGCAGAAATGAGGGGTTTGGTGGGAAAAAAGGTCTCGGGAATCTTCTTTTTAGGGGAGACAATGCTGAAAGGTTGAGGCAGGGCTGTGTCTGCCTGCCCAGCCCTGGGCAGTGTCCCTGTGGCGCTGAAACGTTTTGGTGCCCAACCCTGAAGTGTCGGAGCTGCCGGAGCCTTTCCTGGAACCACCGGTCCTGGAGACTGCAGTGAACCAGAATTCCTGCTGCCCTGCTGGAAATGCCTCTGGATCAAAGCTGGATGGGCTCCAGATGAGCCCAAAGGGAGCAGGGCCATGGCACTGGGAGCTCAGGGGCAGCACAGGGAAGTTTTTCCAAGAAATCAGGAAATTCTTCCCCAGCAGCACTGCAGCAGGGGACAGGGAGCTCCTGGAGCTCCAGGGTCAAACCCAGCAGTGCCTTGGGATGTTGGAAGCTCCCTCCCGTCCCTCTGGGATCACAGAGGCCGCTCTCCATTTCCCTGTTGCAGTGATGCCTCGTGAGCTGATTGTTTTTCTCTGGAAAATGGGAAAATGCCTCTTGAGCAGATCCCGTGGGGGGCAGGTGGGATGGACACTTGGCTCGTGGCAGAGGACACGGTGGCAGCCCTGCAGCATCGGCCCGAGCCCAGCCCAGGGACTGGTTCTTGGAGAGCAGGTGGCACCTGGATCACCTTGCTGTCATTTGTCACCTCCCATGGGACGGTGGCCAACACTTCTCCTCCTCCAGGACTGTCTGTTCTGCAGCCCTGAGCGTGACACCCTGGCCCAGCTGCTGCTGACCTGCCACTGTCCCCATGGCCAGTGACCTCCGTGGCCACCAGAGGTGTGACTGCCCCAGAAATGTCACCCCCCTGGTGACACCATTCCCCCAGAGACAGGACCCCCCTAGAAATATGATTCCTCCATATGTGACCACCAGTGCAAACCTGCCCTGGAAACCCCAATCCCGGAGCCACCACTGTCACTGTCATTATCCCCAGGGTTTTCCTGGGGAGGTTCAGCCTCCCCAAAAAGCTGCTGACACTAAATTCCCTCATCCCAACCCTTGTGGGGTAAACAGGGACCCCAAAAACCCTTCCAGGGGGCTGCCAGCCGTGAGGGTGGGCAGGATGTTTACAGCTGCTGCTCATCCCGAGCAGGCTCTGCTGCTGATTCAGTGAATAATTAACACAGCTCATCCCCCTCAAACCATCCGGGGGCTTTATCCATATCCCGAGACTTTTCTCAACCCACCCTGGGAGGATAAATGGGACAAATAATCCGATTTGAGCATCTCTGTGCGTGCTCTGAGGCCCGAGGATGAGGAGGCTCCCCCCAGACGCGGCTCCTCGGCGCAGGAGATGAGACAAAGGCTGGGAACAAGGGGCTCATGTGATCGCGCAGCCGGCGAGCAGCGGGGGAGGAAGCGGTGCCAGCGGCTCAGCTCCTGCCAGTGCCACCAGCCCCGCGTTCACATCCCCAGCCCGAACTAAAACACACCCTGTGGATTGTCCTGGAGCCTTCAGATATTGCGGGGGAGCCCCCCGAGAGCTGGGGGTGCTGGAGGAAGGATGCTCCAGGTGTCCAACGCAAGGTGGGTGCCCCGATCCACGCACGGGCTGGAGCAAAGCTGCTGCCTCAGGTGCTACCCCTCCCTGGGTGGGCTCCCTCCTTCCCAGCTCAGAATCTGCCTGGAGAGCCTGAGGAGCCCACCCCGAGCCCGGTGACAGGGTGGGCACCCAGTCCTGAGCCTTGTGCCCGGCCTCGGTGTCACATCCCTGGGTGGCCACGGGGCAGCTCAGCCCAGGCCCCTCTTCCCCCTGAGGGTCCCCACTGTCCCCCCGATTGCTCCGAGCCCTGCTGCCATTTCCCCACATTCCCACACCAGCCCGGTGCCCACCTTTACCTGCCTGCCCATCCACCTGCCTACATCAGCTCTGCAAAACCTCAGTTTCCCTTCAGGAGCCACCTGGGGATGTTGGAGCTTCCCTCCCGAGCCTGGGCAAAGCTGAGCCCGGGCAAGTTCAGGCCACGGGCAAGGCCAGGAGCCCCCGGCTCTGACAGCAGCAAAGCGGCTCCCACAGTGCGGGGGGATGGAGGGAGCACGGGGAGATCCCGGCAGGTGCATCCCGGGGTGTGAGGGGCTCCCGGTGTTCCCACAGGCCACACACACACCTGCCAAGACCCAGGGCTGGTGCCTCCCGGGGCTCTCTGACAGCCCCACAAGTGGTAACCCCGCGGGCAACCCCCATGGCTACTGGCTCCTGGGGCTGGTAGCCCCCACGGGCCACACACCCACGGCTACAGCGGGTAATGACAGCCCCGAGAGCAGCCCCACGGCCACTCACCCCAGGGCTGCTGCAGGTCCCCGCAAAGCCCCGGTACCCCGGGCCCCGCTCCGGTACCGCTGCTGTCCCCAGTGCAGCTGTGCCGGTCCAGCCCCCGATACCGGTCCAGCCCCGGTGCCGGTTCACCCCTGGTACCGATCCAGCTCCGGTGCCATTACACCCCCGGCCCGGCACATCCCCGGTGCCAGCGCTCCCTTCCCACTGCCGGGGTACCCCGATACCGGCGCATCCCCGGTGCCGACACGGTCCCGGTGCCGGGACACCCCCGCCGGTGCCGGTGCATCCCCGGTGCCGGTAAAGCCCTCGCTGTGCGCGCACCGCCCTGCGCCTGTCCATCCCCGGTGCCGGTCCGTTCCCCGGTCCCGGTCCTCCCCGGTGCCCGCCCGTCCCTCCCGGTCCCTCCCGGCCGTACCGGGGCTGCGGCGGGGCCGGCGCCGCCCGGGTCGCGCATCAGCGGCGGGGCGGCCGCGGGGCCATTTTCTGTGCGGAGCTGTCGCGAGAGCGGGGGGAGGAGGAGGAGGAGGAGGATGACGAGGGGGGAGGAAGGAACGTGCGGAAGGGCGGGCGGGGGCCTCGGGGGGGGACCCGGCTCCGCCCCGCCGCGTTCCCCCCGCCCGGCTGCTTTTCCCGGGGGATTCTCCGCACCCCGCATCTCAGCGTCTGCCGGCAGCTCGAGCATCCCGGGGTTTGGAGCATCCCGGGGGTCTCGAAACATCTCGGAGAGGGAAAGGCATTAGCGCATCCTGAAGCTTTTGGAGCATCCCAGGGCCCTTGGAGCATCCTGAGGTCTTGGATCATGTCAGGGGCTCAGAACATCCTGAAGGCCTTGGAGCATCCAGGGAGTCTGCCAAATACCCCAGGGGCTTTGGGACATTCCAGGGACAGGGATCATGAGGCTTTTGGAGCTTTTGGGGGGCTTTGGAGCATCTTGGAATCCTCACAGCATCCTGGGGCTTTGCAGTGTCCAGGGGGCTTCAGACCCTGAGCCCTGTGGGAAGTCCTGGACCCCTTGGAGCATCCCAGGGCCCCCTGAGCACCTCAAGCTCCCAGGAACATCCCGGACTCCTGAGAACACCCCAAGCTCCCGGGAACACCCCAAGCTCCCGGGAACACCCCAAGCTCCCGGGAACAACCCAAGCTCCCGGGAACACCCCTCCAGCTCATGTGTGCCCTGAGGAGCAGCCCAGGCCCCTTGGGTCCCCCAGCATCCTCACAGCAACAGAAGCTCCTGAGAGACCCCCAAACCTCTGGGAGCCCCTGGAGCTGTTTGGAGCATCCAGAGCCCTCTGGAGCACCCCAGGGAATGCCAGAGCTGGCCGAGCTCCCACCTCCCTGCAGGGCTGAGCGGGAGCACCCCACTGACAGCACCCACTGCTGGGGGGGTGCCCCCATTCCCAGCCCCCAGGAAGGGCTGGAAGGTGCAGGAAGGAGCTCCCTAAATCCCCAGAGTTTCCAAAGCCACTGTCTTTCACTGAGATAAAACCAGACATCCCCCTCTTGCACTCTGCAGTGCAAGGACTCCTAAAAAGCTGTAATTTACAGGAAAAAAAATCACTCCAAGGACTGCAGGGGCTGAAAAACCCCATCATGAGGGAAGGGAACCACAATTTCCAGCTGTGGAGCTGTGACAAACTTGCAATTCCTTGGGGAACTTCCCATCCCAGGGGGGTTCTGCCCTCTGTTAATCCCACCCTGGAGGACACACGGTCCCCAGAACACTGCTGGACCCCCAAATCTGGGGTGGGGAGGTCTGTGTGACATGGGAACAGCTCCAGTGGGGGCTTGGGAGGGAGGGAGGGAGGGAGAGGAGGGCTGGGATGTGAGGATCTGTGGGATCAGGGAGGAGGGAGAGGAGGGAGAGGAGGGAGAGGAGGGAGAGGAGGGAGAGGAGGGAGAGGAGGGCTGGGATGTGAGGATCTCTGTGGGATCAGGGAGGAGGAAGAGGAGGAAGAGGAGGGCTGGGATGTGAGGATCTCTGTGGGATCAGGGAGGAGGAAGAGGAGGAAGAGGAGGGCTGGGATGTGAGGATCTCTGCGGGATCAGGGAGGAGGAAGAGGAGGAAGAGGAGGGCTGGGATGTGAGGATCTCTGCGGGATCAGGCTGTCGTCACTTCCTCTGGCACAGGGCCTGCGGGGGAAGGCGGCCATGGGCCGGACATTTCCGCCCTGTGCATCCCTCTCCCCGCTGGAAACCTCCTGGAGCGGCCCCGGCTGGGTCTCAGCCCCCAGCCAACACCCCCAGCCCCGGCTTTGGGATGTCCCTGGGGCCGAGGATCGCGGTTTCCACCCCAGGCATCGCTCCTGGCCCCTCACGGCCGAGCCCCCCTGCCCCCGGCAGCGGCGGGCCGGGAAGAGCTGCGCCAGCTCCGAGAGCTTTGGCTGGGACATCCCTGCAGTTTCTCCTGGGAGAAACCGGGCCACGGGGACCGCTCCTGCTGTGCCGAGCCATCCAGAGCCACAGGGGAACGTGGAGATGCCGGAGCTGGGTCCTGCGAGAGCCGGTTTGTGTATTATTGAGCATTTCCCGGAGGGTTCACTGTGGGAGAGCGCGGGGGCTCCCTCTGGGCTGGGCCTGCCCACATCGCGGCTTTGCCACAGCCACAGTGGGAGCTGTGGGGGGAAATACAGCCCCTAAACTCAACATCTGAGTCGGGTTTGGCGAGTCTGGTTATTTACTGTAATTATTAACAACGATTCTACTCATCCCGCGGAGCAGTTTCAGTCCCAGGGTACGAACAAGCAGCCCGTCCTTGCTGCAGGGGTGTCCCCGGCTGAGGGGGCTGCGGGGCCCAGCGCCAGGCCCGGTCCGGGGGGCTCCTGAGGAATCGCTCACTCTGTGCCAGCATCGCTGCAAAAACTTCACGGAGCCGCCCCTGACACCTTGGGCACAGCCTGTGCAGGTGGTGTGGGAGGATGGTGACCTCCTCCTCTCCTCTGGCTCAGATCTTCTGCACGTAATTCCCAGGAAAAAGCCCTTCCTTGCCGTGCAGCCGGCCTTTCCACCAGCCAGAGGCGTCTGGGAAGGGGAGGAAAAGTCAGGTGTGGTGTCAGCACGGCAGGGAGAGGAGCTGGGCAGGGCAGGAGCCTGGTACCTTCCATCAGGATGTCAAGGACGTCCCCCACATTGAAGCTGAGCTCGTCCACGTCCTGCCCGATGTACTGGTAGAGCGCCCGGCACCGCGGCCCCTCCGCCTTGGGCTGGGGCTTGGGGCGCCGGGCCGGGGGCGGCCGCTGGCTCACGCTGCGCCGGCGCTGCATCCTGAGGGACGGGAGGGATGGGGTCCACACCCGCAGGGCAGGAGAGCCTGGCATGTGCTGCTCCCTCCTGCCCACCCTGAGGTGTTCTGTGCCTGCAGGTGGGTGAACTGGGGGAACTGGGGCAGGATGAGCTGCCCATCCCGCTGTCCCACACCCGTGGGGTGCTCCGCCTGCAGGTGGGTGCTCCCAGTGCACGGACTGGGAAGACTGGGATGCACAAGAGCCTGGGAGATGTGTCCTGCCAGCAAAGCCAGATTGCCCCACTCTGGTGCCCTCCTCAGAGGGGAAAGCATCTCCCAGCGCTGGTGGCAGCGGGAGAGGAGGATGGGGCAGGGAGAGGGACGTGGGACAGGACCTACCCGGCCACCCCCTGGTCAGGCACGTTGAGGAAGTCCATGTTGTGCTCAGATGGGGGCCGTGCCTTGGGCTGGTGGCTGGTGGGGCGGGCGGGAAGAGCCGCGGCCGGGGGACCCCGCGTCTGCTTCTGGGGCATCTTGTAGGTGTCTCTCTGGGCCCAGGCATCGCCGCGGGGCATCTGGGGGCCCCCGTTCCTGCAGGCTCCTGGAACATCCCGTCCCAGGAGGGTGCATTACGGGGGGGCCATGCAGCCTGCACCCCCGGGTGTCCCCACCCTGGTACCCCCTCCTCACCTCTGGGTGCTGGTGGGGCACTTCGGGAAGGTGCCGGACGCCTGCCGCCACCTCTGCCCTGCGCTGCCCCCTTCCTTGTGGGCTCTGGGGGGACACAAGCCCCCCGTTAGGTGACATCTCAGAGCCAGCTGGAGGGGCTGTCCACCCATTTGTACCCTGTTCCCCAAAGGTCCCTGTGCTGCCCCATCACCAGAGCAGAAATGGGTCCTTCCCGAGGCAGACACAAACCCCATGGGGTACACCCAGCTCGCCCCAATGCTCCCAGGCCTCCAGCTGTGCCCTGTGACCCCAGCGCTCCTGTGTCCCCCCTCTGCCACCCCCCAGTGCCCTGGCACTCACTGGCATTCCTGGGGAGCCCATCCCCGATGCTGACCGTAAGGGTTTTGCCTCCAGCTTTGAGGGCGGCCACGTCGCCCTGTCCCCTGATGAAGGCGACGCTGCGGGTGCCACCGCCGCCCCAGCCCTCCTTCTTCACCCGAAACTGTAGTCTGGGGGCGAGAGAAGCCATGAGGCTGCGATGACAGGACCCTGTCCTGCTCTGTCACCTCTCCTGGCCTCTATCCTTACGTGTCCTTGAAGGAGAGGGGCAGCTTGGAGCGAGTGAGCTCCTCGAAGCGTTTGCACAGGAGGCTGATCAGCTCCGTCTTGAAGATGGACTCCAAGAAATTGTCGGCATCATTCTCGTGGAGGATGAAGAAGTCATCCTGCCTGGTGCTGGGGGAACAACCAGGGGTGTCAACCCCACCAAGGCTGGTGCCAGCTGGGCTGGGGGGGATTTGCGGACCCTGCTGGGCTTGGGCCCACCCCAAGGAATTGTGGAGGGCGATTTAGCTGGAAAACTCCCTGGTTTCTGCAAAGCACCTGTGGGGAGCATCCTCCTCAGGGCTGGATGCCATGGATGAGGGACTGGGGAGCACCAGGGCATGGAGAGGCTGCTTGGGGGTGAGGGGGGGAAGCCCAGCCATGGGGGGCTTTCCTGGTAAGGGACACACCTCAGCGAGACGCCGCTCACCGCCTGCAGCTCCACCTTCTTCTTGAGCACCTCCTTGATCTGCCCCTTCTCAGGCCCCTTCTTCACCTTCTCCCGCCCGATCAGGTAGAAGTACTTGGGGGTGAGGATGAAATCCCGCTTGATGGGCTGGGAAGGGGCAGGAGAAGGGGGTGAGGGGGTTTTGCTGGGGGGAACAAACCCCACACACACACGTCCCACCCGAGGGAAGGCACCAGGAGCTGCAGCCTGGCCGGTCCCCAGCCCCAGGTGTGTCCTTGTACCTTGAACCTCCGGTCGTATTTGGTGATGGAGTCGGCGAAGTCGACGCGCTCCCGCTTGGCCAGGAACTGGCGCAGCTCCGGCCGCTCCTCCATGCCCAGGTAATCGCCCACAAAATTCCTGTTGATGCTGTTCCTCCGCCGCTCTTTGAAGTTGTAGAGGATGCTGGCGGCTGGGAGGGGCCCCAGAGGTGCAGGTTGGACGTGGCTCTGTGGTGGTGGCTCAGAGCCCCCCCAGACATGGCAGCAAAAGTGGGGATTGTTTCATGCCATGGGAGGGATCCCAGCTGCTTGAGCTTGGCTGGCTTTGAAACCCAATAATTGCCTTCAAAAAATCTCATGCTGTGGCACGGAGGGATGGACCCAGCTGTTTTTGGGGTTTTCCTCTTCAATTTTTCCTGCGTGCTTGGGAGGGTTGGAAAACCCATGATGGGGTCAGGCAGGGACCAGTGGCTTGTCCCATCCTGCCAACATTGACTCCCAGCTACTCCCCTCCACCCTTGTGCAGGTGGTGAGATGCAGAGTGAGACAGCACAAGG